GGTTCCAGGCCAATAAGAATAGGCTGTAGTTGGACACAAGATGGTTAACCATACAACAGTTTGACTCAGTTCTCTTTGAAGTTACGATTGAGGTTGGAGATTTAGACCAACCAATGACATTATCCTGCTCTCACATGGAAGAACAAGATACATTTTGACGTTATTGATTTGGAAGGAGATTAAGGAGTCTTTTTCCAGACTTAATCTAGATTAGCTCCCTAATTGCACCAATATAATTGGATAACACACATGACTTTTCTCCCCCATCACCATTGCCCAGCCTCCCGTTCACCACTTTTACTTAATTAAGTTAGACCTTCTCGCAATAATGTTCCAATGAACTCCCACCTCCCATCTCTGACCACAAGATTTAACTTGGCATTTAATATGCTAGCTTTCAAAGGTGATAGAAATCCAAAATAAATCAGAAGCAAGTTCAAAATATTTTGAAGCAGAAATGTGCAAAAGCAGTTTCTTATTATACTTTAATACATCAACAGTGGCAAGCCCATTTTAAACTTGGACCTCCCTCCGAATCATTATACTACCACATGCCCTATATATTTCGAATTCTATTCATTTATGATGACAGAAATGAAATTCTATTGAAGTGGCACCACAACATGGTAGGAATGCTGTTACATCTTATTAGACTTTGAAATATCTATTAGTGGTACACAAAACTTATGTAGATGACCCAACAAACTTGGTATTAAGACATTTTTTAATTCAGTTATATAAATGTTTTTTCCCATTTTGGTCATTGCACAAAGACAAGAATATTATTCCACACACTTCACAAACTCAGAAACGGGAATTGTTCCGAGCAAATAATAAAGACACTTATCAATTGAAATGACCTTAGCATCATATCAAACCTTATGATGATTTAACTGTTCAAATATGATTATATGGCTTTAAGTCTAAACAATTAACCAAGTAAGAGAATATATAAGTATAAATAACTAAAGATTAAGAGTGAAAGTCTTACTTATAAATCCTGACTAACTGCTGCTGGTGGCCAGCTCGAACCATTTGCTGGGCCAGATCATGCAATAATGGCATAATCCGAGGTGGTATAAGAGTGGGAGGAGTATAGACAGCAGTTTGCAACTCACTGTTTTGATGCTCAGATTGGTTATGGGATGTTCCCCTGCCACCAGCATCACCTTGGTTTCCAGGTGACAATGGACGCAGCTCATTTGGAAGGCCATCAAAGAGACGATCAGGCTCAATAGGTTTGCTGAAATTCAATTATAAAGACAAAGAAATAAATGGAAGGAATAAAACATAATGACAATTGCAAGATTAAGCAAACTTCAAAAATAAATACTTAAAAATTGAAATATCCTATCCTAAGATTATTGAGAACACAACCATTTAATAGATTAGTGTTAAACTCCCTGAAAAGAATAAACTCCACTAAAAGAGAGAGAGAGAGAGAGAGAGAGAGAGAGAGAGATAAAAGAAGAAATTTAAGTATTTCCCAGTTAATGCTTGATGTAATACTGGACTAATTATTGGGAGAATCAGTACCAAAGGATGAGGGAGCTAGCAGTATTAACATTATCAGTTAATAATTTGGCAAATTAGACCAGTTGGATCGCAACCTGATAGCTGTTAACTATATTTTCAATCAGACTAATAATAAGGCTATGGCATTTTCTCTGCATATTCTGAAAAGGAAACATGACAGAAATTATGCTCAAAGCACACATACATGCCCACTCTCACACAATACAAATGAAAGAAACATGGAGGAAGCACACTCAAAACATCCATGCAATTGCTTACGATATTAATAACAAGAAACTATTGCACATGAGGAAGTTGAAATATACAACGGTGCCACAGGGCTTGATTTTTAGGCACAAAGGTCAAAGATCTGATGACAGAAATTTTCAATGCTAGACTAGAAGTCATCCTCTCATCAGGGAGCATAGGTTATACACGCCAAGAATTGTTAACTGTACAATTCAGAAGAAAAGAAACACAAAAGTCAAAAGAACTTGATAAGTTAGGAACAGAAACCTGTAAGAATTTAACCGCCGCTTAAACTCATCCTCTAGCTTTGAAATAGCTTTAGCAAGTAAAGTATTAGCTTGGTTAACCACCCCATCACTATTCCTAAAGTGCCTGTTGCTGCTAAAAAAGCTAATGTTGTTTCTTAGCTGATCAATTGCTCCTAGATAACCTTCTAGATCCTCATGCGGCCCCTTAAGTATTTTAGCCTCCGCCTACGAGAAAATTCAAAGAACCAATAATAAAATATCCAAATGCAATAACATATCTAGCTAGCTTTTATTGCCAGCAGTCACGTGGCATGTTGATGGTCCTGAACTCTTAGTTTCAGTAACCATCAAATCCCTGAATTCAAGTATAAAAAAATAATAATAATAATAAAAAAATTCCATAATTTGAGAAAAGAATTTTCTTACAATTAATAAGTTCCACAATTCGTGGATTAGGTTTGAATCAAACATAAACTAAGATACAGCTAAGCAATAGATCTACAACTTTTTTTTTCTTTTTAGTAAGAAAATTGTTAGAAAGGGATAACCTGACGAGAGAGATCAAATTGTGCCAAAATAACTTCGGCAGACTTCAAAGTCTTGTCTATATTCTCATGAGCTTTTCTTATAGCATGAGTTCTAATCTGTATAACTCAAAACAACAAAGAAAACATAAGGAAAATTCCCCTGATCTGTGTTGAATTGGAGGTAAAATGTTGGAAAAAGCAGAAAGGAAACCTGAGTAGGACGCATGGCAGTCTCGAGAGCGGAGAGGCGGCTGTCGAAGGAGCCAAGAATGGAGACAACGTTGTCTGTAATTGTTTGGCTCTTTTGTAAAGCCTCTCTCATCATCGCTGCCCTCTCGCTTAGGGAATCCATACCCACAACTGCTATTCCCATCTTTCTTCTTCTTGGCTTTCTTTCTTCCTCTGTCAATAAGTATTATCAGAACAATAGTTTATTTTGAAATTGGTGAGGAAAACGGTTTGACATTTCTAATTTCTTTTTTCAGCAGCAGACACTTTCCTCTTTCCGTGTATTTGTTTTCGGTCTTTGACACGGTGTCAGTGTTCTAGGACCGGACCGGCCGGTTCAAGATGAAACCAGAAGCCTTACCGGTCCTTAATTATCCATCAAGCCGGTTATGGTCAAAATCAATCAAAGACCTGAAGGACCAGCAAAACCGATGTCAAGTTGAGCTAGGATTATTATATTATTAAAGAGAGTGCTTGCATGGAGGAAGGATTTTATTTTAATTAGATTTTAAAAAAATTTAAAAATTATTTATTTTTCGGGAAAAAATAAAAAATTTTAAAATTTAAGAGAAAATTCTAAAGATATGAAATTTTAACTGAAAAGGTCATTTTTCAATAATTTTTTTAATTCTTTCATATCTTTATCACACCTTATATATTATATTATATTATAAGATACAAATTTATCTAATAGATTTTATTTATATGGACATTTAAATGGATGATTTTTATATTTGACATATAAAAAATTTTGAAATATACATAAGAAAATTTTTAATTGTATATTATTTATCAAATAAATAAATATATTTAAAAAATTATTAGTTAGTCAAATCTTTCAAAATTCGGATGTATTTATTTGAAATAGCAAATAAATGTATTTAAAAGATTATTACATATCCAAAGCTTTGGTTTTAGCCATCAAAAACGTATTCATTTGCCAAACATGGATACATTATCTTTTTAAATGAATTTCATGATAATTTAAATATATATTTTTTAAATTTAAAATTTTCAAATGTAATAATGTATTATCTTTCAAAATAAATTTCATAATAATTATGTATATATATTATATTATAGGGTACATAATTATTTGATAAATTGGTAGAAAGATTTTTAAAATAATAAAATATAGATTAATTAAGTATGATAACTTAGTCAATGGTACGAGAAACAAATAATATTAAAGTTTTGATGAAGTTTTTGGATGCATGAAAGAGTTGGTTTATATGATTATAGCCGAGACATTTAGATGCCCTTACATTGACATTTGAATGCCTAGTTACTAGTTGAAGGCAGTCGATTTCTTGAGCCAAGGTATTCGATTGCCCAATATAGGAAAAGCATTCTAGAAGCATAATACAAGGTAACCTTTCAGACTTGCCATCTTCTTTTCCCTTTCTTTGCTAGCATCTTCTTCATTTCCCATCTTTTTGGCTCATACCTCAAATCAAAAATTTCACTATTGTCTATTATTTTTGGAAACTCCCTTATTTTTTGCAGGTTCTTGCCAAGTCCAGCTTTAAGATATCAATCCATCCCAATGACTTGATTAATCACAAATTTTGTGTTAGCAGATGAACATGGGAGTCATGATTTAGATCCTTTGCCCACATAAGCAACATTGGCAAGTTTGAAGGACTTATAAGAGCATTTTAAAGCCTCCTACGCTGCTTCCATATTTGGTGTATTCATAGGTTGGATCACCAATAAATTCTTCTTCCAAGATATAATAACAAGTTAACCTTTAATATTGAACTTAATATTTGATGTAATATAAAGAGAACAACACTTGTTATATGAATCCACAATCTCCTTAGCAAGCATCTATATAAAGGAAAAACATATATTACTTAAAATTTTATATTAAACGTGTAAGACATAATTTATAGATGCATTTTAATATCTCTTAAAATTTTTATTTTAATCCTATTAAAAACTTTAACAATCATATGATTATTTTTCATATCAGACATGTTGATGTAGAACAATTGTCGACGATGATTTTAACTATAGCACAGTTTTTACAATTAATAGTAATATATAGAGCCTTAATACTCATTTTCTTTTAAAAGATTTTATCATCGCTGAAAGTTATATAACGGGTGCCACTAAAGTCAAATCTAAAATTCAAAAGATGAAGTGAACTGAAATAAGCAAAAAGCCCAAAATCATTCAAACCCATTTCCAAATTGACCCAAACTATAAGATGTTTTTTTGGTTCAATCCGAAATGATCCATCACAGATCGGATCCCACCCGTTTATCGCCCGATAAACACAAATATAGTTGAGTTTTGTTAAAAACAATGTACATGGCTAAGCATTTTCTATCCTATAAGAAAGACGATGGAAGCTGAAAAAATATTTAAGTAATTGGTAATGGCTTTATGCCGGTCATTTTTCCTTTTTTCCCATCTCCATCGTGCCCTTCTCGTCGTTCCTTCCAAGCCCATTTGTTTCTTCCCGGAATACCCTTCTTATTCCTCTAAATTTGCCAACCATCAAAAGCCTCAAACTCCATTCTCCTGTACTTGCTGTTCATCATCCTCCATGGAAGCTCCTCCTCAAGGTTACAGGAGAAATGTGGGCATTTGTCTCATCAATTCCTCCAAAAAGGTCTTTATAACATGCAGTTTTTCCTCTCAATTTAGATTTTTTTTGTTTAGGTTTTATATTATATAATGAATTTATTCATTTGACATTTCTTTTTTTTCTCTGTTTTGTAGATTTTTTCTGCATCGAGACTAGATATTCCCAATGCTTGGCAAATGCCACAGGTTCCTTTTCCTATGATTTTGTTTCTTTAAATTTGTTTGTCTTTCTAATATTATTCCTGTAAAATGAACTGGCTTTGGTTACATTTAGGGTTTAATCAAGTCGAATCGAGTCTGACAAATTCGAGCTTGGCTTGACTTGAAAACTGGAGGCTTGCCTTGATCTTGATCAAACTTTGTTTTTGTACTCGAGCTTGGCCTCGTAATTTAATTAAGCCGCTTTAGCTTCGCTTGATAGGCTTTTTTCTGCTCGGTAAAATTATAAATATTGAAATTAAACATTACATTTTTGTCTTTTACTTTTTTATATACACACACACACACACATTAAATATATTAAAAAAATAAAAAGCTCCATTAGGCTAGGAGCTTTTGAGTTGGATATTAAACTTGAATTTGGCTCGACTCATTACTTTAGTAGTTCGAGCTTGACTTGACAATGAACAAGTGGAGTTTCTTTTTTTTTTTGGAATTGAACATGAATAGATAACAAGTAGTTTGATTGGTATGCACCCCTAATTGCATCCATAAGAGCATTTTTCTTTTTCTTTTTTTATTAACTTAAAGAAATTCTTTGGATTGAGGGAGGGAAGGACAAGGAAAGGTGAGGAACAGGGAAACCCTCTCCTTTGTTTGGATAAATTTTGAGTTGGGAGGGAAAGGAGGGATTGTCAACGCTCCTCCATTTCCCTTGAAAAGTTCAAGTTTCCAATCCTCCAAATCAGCAGGAAAGCAAGGGAAAAGTTTCTTTCTTTCATCGTATTCCTAGAGACAATTTATAGGCATGACATTCATTTATTTATGGCTTTTTCCAGAGATTTAAATTTACATTATGGACCTTTATGTGAGGATGCATAGCAGTGCTCTACATATATGATTATTTTTCCTTGCATTTGACTTGTGAAAACAGAAAACCATCATGAGTGTTTGAGATTTTATAGTATACACCCTGATAATTTCTACAAATCACAAAAAAAAAAAAAGAGTTGGCTAATGTCACATTGTCTATCTTGTAATCATTCAATTCTGTTTGAATTAGCTTCTTCTCGTCCATCTATTCGGTCCTTTTCAATAACATTCTTGGCTGCCTCCAGTATGGAACTCCATTTTGCATTAGAAGTTGTGCCTTTTGAATGACTGAGTCATCTATTGCAGTTATCTATGCTTTGAAACTTCAAGTTCTATTGCAATAAGAGCTGTTTAATGGATATAAAATTTTAAATGAACTTGCATTACTTAGATTTAATGATGCACAGGGTGGGATTGATGACAGTGAAGATCCAAAAGTTGCAGCTCTCAGAGAATTAAGGGAAGAAACAGGTGTTAGCTCAGCAGAAGTTCTTGCAGAGGTTTGTTTTAAGATGTCCGTTATTATTATTATTATTATTAAATGAAAATTTTTATTTCACCATCGAAAGAAGAAGGAAGAACCTGCTACATAACATACTTAAAAGATGGTACTAACAATAGCCAAACAGTTTACAATTAATATTCAGATGTTGAGGCCCCAGCTTTCACTCAATCCCCTGTTATGCAATGAAGCAATAGCAGGTAGACTTGGAATCTTGACTTGGACATCCTCCATAATATGTTTAAGCACAGATGCATGAGTAGGAACTTGGCAAGCATATCTGTAAGAATTCCTAGCCTTCCAAATATAATAGATGTAGGGAGACCAGGATAACCGAAGGATAGAGGATAAGAGTGACTTCTACTAAAGTGTATCAGCAACCCAATTGAAGTCTGTTGTCCAGTCCCCAGGGTCCCTTTGAATGAAAGAGAGCTGCAGTATCTTCCTCCATATCAGTTTGGAAATGTGCAAGTGAAAAATATATGATTCCTAGAGTCTTCTGGTTCACTGCAGAAACAACGCCGTGAGCCTTGAATATTAATCCCATATGAACTGAGCCTGGAAAGAATAGGTAGTCTGTCCAGGATGGCAAGCCAAGTGATGAAAGAATGCCATGGAATATGATAAGGAGACCATATCAACCTATGCAATAAGACTTTAGGTTTGACAGTTCTCCACCAATTCCATGTAGAAGCAGCAGCCCTGGGTTTTGAAGGCAGCCAAATTTGCATAGTTGAATCAGGACCATTTGCAAACATTGGTCTGGTAATATCCTTGCATCTCAAGAGCTTTATCAAATTCCAGCTGCACGAACCTGGAATTGCAACCTGCCAAAGCTCTTATGCTTAAGAAGATTAGCATGCACCCATGCAACCAAAGGGAGTCTGATCTGCCAAAGAGAGACCAAATGTGTCTTAGAATTCAAGCATTATTCCAGATCTTTAAGCTTGTCAAACCAAAGCCACTTTCACTCCTAGGACAACATACTGCATCCCAACTGACTTTAGCTCCCCTGGCATTTCCCTTCTTGCTTGTCCACAGGAAAGATGAACAGAGTTAATTGACTTTATGAATCACCTTTGTTTGGAAGTGTAAAGATATGACACCAGCAATTTTGCATACTAAAAAGTACAGACTGGATCAACTGGAGTCTATCAGCATAGGATAGCTTTCTGGGAGCCAAACTATTTATCCTTCTTGTAATTTTCTGTATAAGAGGGTCACAATCCTTGTAAGTCTCCTTTTGCACCAGGAAAATATCCAAGTAGGCCACCATTCAAAGCTACAGAATATTTAGGATTTGTAACACGGCTATAAAGCCAATGTATGTCCTTTATTTTTTCCTCTCAAGATTTGCATTGGTATTTTCTTTTACACTGCTGATATTACTAGTGAAACAGGCTGCTGCACACAAGCTAGGGAGTGGGGGACATAAGTGCTTTTAGATTGTACTTTCTTCTAGGAAAGGATTAGAAATTCGAAAAAATAAGTCCAAATGTTCTGATTAATTTGGCCTTCAAGATACTAGTCCTATGCCACATGCGCTCTGCAGGTGAAATAAATGAATAATTTTATGATTGGATAAATGTTAAAAGAATCATGACCATCAGTGAACGTTACAAAACATTCAGGAACTGAATCAGAGAATATTGTGCTTTCCTCTCTTAGTTTCCTTTCTATCTTTCCCTGCTCTTTCCTTTCTCTATTCTCTGTTTCTACTCTCTGCAACTGTTATTTGTTTAGCCTGTTCTTTAATCTTTTGTTTGAGCTCATCACAAACATTTTTAGAAGCTGCTTCTGAATTAATAAGCTCTGAAACCTAAATGTCTATACTCTTGTCTCTAGTGCATCAATGTGTAATGGTAGCGCCTCGCATTGATGTTTGAAAGCACATTTCAAATTATAAACTGAGCAAGTTGCAAAAATTTCTGTGCATGCATAATCAATATGGTTCAAGATCATCTTGACAATTAATCAGTTATGATATGGCTTTGCAATACTGGATGTGCTGACACCCAAAATTTGACTAGCAGCCATTCTAAGTGCTGATTGTTTTGTAATGAATTGGGGCAAAACTTTTTGAACCATAAAGTACGGATTTGTTGTTGTGTTATTTGGAACTTATTGACCATTTGGATGAAGTGAGTGCTCCTACCATCATTTTGTTTTCTTATTTTTACGTTACACTCATTATTTGGAACTCAATGATGCTAGGCTAAGGTCTGACTAACCTGATGATAGTAAAATCATAAATAGAGTATGACTACTAAAAAAGCGGAGGGTATCCCTGACTTTTGAAGGGTTTGATAGGCAGGATAACATGCAGTCAACCTGTTTTTGGATAGATTCACATAGACGTTGATTCAACGGAGAAAAATTCAGTTGGAGCTTTCTACCAAGGAAACAATTATTGTATCATACTTGTAACAGACTGAAATAATTGATATTTATTCTTTTTTTTATATAACGATTCGATTGCAATTGAAAGTTCTATATAAAAAAAAAGGTTAAATGAAAATTGAGGGTTTATGTGCTTTTATTGTTAGTAGGCACATGAACGGTGAGAAAGAGTTTTAGTGGCATCTTAGTTATAGAGGTTTTTGCCATTGTGCATCAATGTCCAATTCCTTTTTGCACACATACACGGAAGTCCAGCTCTGACATGTTCAAGTTTGAATTATACATTGGGAACTATTAGGTTCATGAGTTTTACCGTATTAGTGTTCTAAATGTAATGCTTTGCACTTGTTATTGAGATTTGCTTTCTCCATTTCTTTCTAATTCTGTGCTTTTCTCATTCATGGCTTACCTGGAGTGTGTCTGCTTTTTTTTTTTTGGCCAAATGAGTGTGTCTGCTTATTGGTTCTGCCTTGTAGGTACCTTATTGGCTGACATACGACTTCCCACCCGAAGTTAGGGAAAAATTGAAACATCAATGGGGTTCGGACTGGAAAGGTCAAGCTCAAAAGTGGTGAGTGCTTGATTACCCTTAAAGTAGGTAATTCATGATATAGGTATTAATGGGTTGGAAAGAAACTTAAGTTGGTTGTATTAGGTTGGTAGAGATTGAGGCTACAAATGATAAATGGTATACTGACTCAAGTATGCATAAATAAACCCCAATTGTCCGTGTATACATATACATATACATATATATATCCATGCACGCATTCATGTCCCTGTGTCTGTCTTACACAGCCATCACACAACTCAACTTCTGATGGGTGAACTGAAACCAGTAATTTGATTTCTGAATTGTATTTTGGTAGATGGTAGAAACAATAGGGAGGCTGTTTGTCTATCTTACATAGCCAATGTAAAGCCTCAACTATCGAGTTTCGGTCAGTGAAGTTAGACCAGTCAGTCATTTTGACTTGGATCGGATTTTGGTAGAGAGCAGAAGCAAGTTCAAATCCACTCAAAAGTTTTGAAATTTATTCTGCAATGCTAATATGCACATGCTAGCACTGGTTCCAGACGTGATATGTCCTCCAACTAATGTTTTTTTTTTGTTATAATTTGTAAAGGTCCCTGTTTGTTTTGATGTTCCATGCTTTAAATTGACCATTACAAACAGGTTTCTCCTTAAATTCACTGGGAAGGAGGAAGAAATCAATCTTTTGGGTGATGGTACTGAGAAACCTGAGTTTGGTGAATGGTCATGGATGGCACCAGAGCAAATATTAGAGCTCGTGGGTACTCCTTACTCTCACTAGTTTGTATCAATTAAAGGCAGATTGGCTAACTTTGTATCCGTTGTCTATATATTAGTTACTGTATTTCCATTTTGTGCAGGCAGTCGATTTCAAGAAACCTGTTTACAAAGAAGTTTTGTCAGTTTTTACACCCTACCTCCAATAAGATCTTGTTGCAATTGCACTTTGAATGAGTTGCAGAGTACATGGTATTTTCGGACTAGAGTTGAAATCTCTCAGGGGACGTCTTATTTTATTAGATTCAAAAATTACTTTATTTATTTAGATTTTAACATTATTTATTTTTATTTTTTATTTTTCATATGGTTAATTTCAAATTACGAGATATAAGACTTAATTTGTTGTTGTTGAATTTTATCCTTGAATAATAAATAAATTCAACACAACTTGTAATCTGCTTGTTCTGTATAGTTTTTGGGAATATGATTATTTTTAAAAGATTAGCAAGGCCGATTCACGCTAATGTCATATTTGTGATAGGTTCACTTGGCCTGCATACAAAATTGTCATGTTTGGTTGGTCATGAATACGATTTCCTCAAATGATCATTTTACTCAAATCCCCACTGAAAATGAAATCTATTATGGTAATTCCTTTTATAAGTTAAACATATTTAAAAGGAAGCTATATGTATATATAATAATCAAACATATAATTTTTGTTAATTCAAACATGCAATTCTTTATAACAAAATAAATTATATCGAAGTATTTATATCAATATTATAAAAGAAAACGTAAAAAAAATTACAAAATATCCTTTGTCACCTGTGTTTTTATCAGCATATTTAATGAAGTAACCATACAAAGGTTTCTTAGCCTTATAAAAAAATTCAGTCAACCAAAAAAATTATTAAATATCAAATCAGAAAATAGAATAATATTTCAGAATCAACAAGGCCAAATATAGCATCCAAAAAATCCAAAAAAAAAAAAAAGTTCACTTGGTAAGATCCTACATCAACAAAAAGTTCTAGCATTCCTAATCAAAATAATTTCATTCAAACATGAAAAAGTATAATTTCTTCGGTCAATACCAACAAAAAATGATTATATTTTGGAAAGAATGAAAATAGGTCGAGTTTAATAAGTTGGGGCTGCTTTTGTTTTGTAATTTGAAACACCTACAAGATTAATATGAATCAAACATTCTCTTATAACAGAAAAAAAAAGGGGGGGGGGGGGGGAGAATCTTGAAAGTCCAACAAATCCGAACAAGTGTAGAATTTATAGGCAAAAAGTTTTTGTATTTGCAGAAGCTTTGTTAACTATAACGCATTCTTTAGCATGGAATATCTCATCACTAGATTTATAATCTTCCTTGTACACATAATAGCGGTACATCAGTATAAGGAAAAATCTTTTCATGGACATAAGCATGATGTTAATCATGGAAGACTATCGACGATATAGACATAAATTCGAAATTTAACTCAGTTTGTCGATGTAGCCATCTTTAAGAAATAGCATCCAATAAGCCTAACATTCGAATCCCAATACCTGTAATCTCTTTTTCTATCCTTAGGTTATGGCCTCCTATATATATATATATATATTTAAAAAAAAAAAAAACAAAGTTGAAAACATACAAAAGCAGGTAAAAAAGAAAGGATAATCAGCAAACGATTATTTAAGCATTTTTGAAATATACTCGCTGAAGTAGGCCTCTGAAAACAAAATGGGATTGGAATCTTGTAAACAAAATTCTGTGTCACTAAAAAACTCTTTTAACTTTTTGTAGGAATATACCTTGAATCTCTGAGAATACATCTAGTTATAAACACCAGCATCCTTTAAACGATAAAATTCTTCATTCCTCTGGTTTCCATTATCAAAGGGCTAACAAAATGCCATGCCACAAAGAAGAACAGCCATCAAACGAAGCAGACTACAATTGCATACTGCCTTAGATTGGCCTCAAGTGAATCAATTCCACGGGATAGATCAGCAACATAAAAGTTCTAATTTTATAGCCTAATTGCTAAACAAGTAAATTCTTGCAAAATCACCAGTAACTCATCACAAAATCTGCAACTGATAACATCATCTCAAGTATATTTTGTATATAAAATCACAAAATCAAAAGATTAATCATCATACATCATCTTGTCATTTGTCTAAGTATATTTTGTATATGACCCGTGATAATCTCAGCAACAATTTCAGGAGAAAATCTTTTGATCATGTCCTTCCTCGCCTGCCTACCTTTAGCCCTGGCCTCCTCCACATTACTAATCACATGCCTCATAAGCGCTTGAAGCTCACTAACTGATGGTTCAGCCCACAAATGCCCTTTAAACGGTCCTTCTGTTACTTTGCTCATTCTTTCTACTGGCAAAGGATAGCTATTCTCCTCTGTCAAATATTCAGTAGGCCCTGACCAATTAGTTGTTATTACCGGCAAGGACATTGCCATGGCTTCCACAATAGGCCTTCCCCATCCTTCTCCTCTTGATGGAAGCACATATGTATTGGCTGCTTTGTACAGTCGCGGCAAATCAGTGTGAGCTATGTGGGTGTCAATGACATACACAGGAGCCCACCCACTAACTGGCTTTTCCATACCAGTATCTTCCACAAACTGGACAATCTTGTTGTCAAAATCTCTACTAGAATGATAAGGATTAGTCAACAAGTACAAAACCACCCCATCATCCTTGGAGAATTCTTTCAAGTATGCTTTGAGCAACACATCCCATCCTTTCCTAAACTCCCACTTAAAGACACTCAAGAATACAAACTCCTTCCCAGGATTTGAATTGGTAATTTTTTCACCTAAAACCAGATTCCCTTTGGAAGCAATATCCAATGGCTTATATTTGGAAGGATCAAAGAACTTGACATCAATAGGCTGCACAATTTTCACAACCTTAGCCGGATCAACACCACTTTGCACAAATGTGGACACATGGAACTCAGTAGGAACCCAAACAGAATCCATTCTATTACAACGCTTAACATGTCTCGCATTCAGTCTATCAGTCTCAAACATAGTCCTGCCAATGACAAACATGAAATCACGATAACCAGTTGGAGGGCAAGGAAGAGTTTGAAACAATGGGGGATGCCAAGCACCAGGCTCACTATGGCAAACCACAATGGTCTCATTTATTCTGCATTCTGTTTGGTAAAGCTGAATTGCCAAATTCCTTATATCTTGAGGCAATCCCTCCCAAAACTCCAGGGACTCTAAATCACCATGTTGGTCGATAGCCAATTTGAAACTTGGGTTTTGGAGATTTTTCATGTATTCATTGAGTGCTAAAACATAAGACCATGCTTCTGAACTATACCCACCACCTGAGAGGAAGGGAGCCATCCATAGGACACAGTAAGAGTGGGATTTGATGGGTTTTCGGGTTTTGAACAGAAATGATAAAAGGGATTGAAAGAAAGTTGTGTGGCGTGAACTGAGGCTCAATTTCAAGTGCTTGATTTTATAGTAGTCTGTTCTGCTAAAACTAAAAGATATTGCTAGGAACAGAATAAAGACGGATGAAGAATAGATGATAAACGACTTGAAATTTGGCGTCATCTCATCACATGCATTGAATTTACATTACCAAATCTGTAAGAAATGGCTGGCAAAGAAAAATATATGATACAATGAACTGCAGCTACAGCATGAGAAAGATGAAGATTACCTGAAACCCTAATTGCTCTTGAAAATGGAAAGTTGTTGTAAATACCTTTGATGTTGATTGTAAGAGAATTTTCTTATAATTTGCTTGTTTGATGGAACGATAGATACGGTTATCCCAACCAGGATCATCAGTGATAAAATAAAATAAAATTAAAAAGAAAAGAAGAAACCAAATGTTGAGGACACGGAAACGGAAAAAAACAAGAGGAGGAGAAGAACAGTTCAGGAGACCCGACCCGCTCCAAACACCCAGAACAGTTCAGGATAGGACCAGGGTTGTTGTTTACTTTTAATAATAATAAAAAAAAAAACTAAATATTCAATTTAAAATATTACGTTTGATCGTTCTTTAAATTATGATTATCATTTTTAATTTGATTCGATTAAGAAACAAATGTTTTCGGATTATGCTCGACAACATAACAGAAAATTCAAATATGAATATAACTTGTAATTGGATAAGAAATTGACAAGAAATAAAAAAATAAAAAATAAACACGAGATACATTGTACTCCAACTTTCATGTCCTAAGGATTAGAAAGGATAAATATTCGATTTAAAATTCAACATTTCGTCCAATTCTCAATGATGTAATATTTAATTTGATTCAAATCTTTCAAAATTGTTCGATTAAGGATTTTTTTTTTTTGACGGAAATGAATAAAACGTGTTTGATAATCGCTTGATATCTTAAAGTATTGGGTAAAAAAGTCTAATCCTAACTCTCTTCCTTCATCTTTCACTCTTGTAACCTCGTTTCTTGCTGCAAGCCTATTGCACCGCAGCTTTTCATTACATGAGTCGGTGTTGCTCTTCCAATTCCAAAAGTATTGCCAGACTTTAACACAATCATTTTTCAAATTGAAAACACTATACCCAAAAATCCCAATTTTGACCTTGTCCATACACATTAATTTCCATTTTTTCAATTCAAATTTCTATAATTTTTCTAATATTCGTTCCTCGTTAATGTCATCTTTAATCTTCAACACGAACAGCATCTCAATCTTGATCTCAGATGATGAATCCGACAAACTCGATCGAATGCGAGCTATAATTTGAAGGTCCTATCATGGCCACCAAGGAGTTAGGATCAAGTTGACTCAGCGATTCATCCGTTGGTTCATCAAATATTGGACGCTCCTTATATTCCTTCCAGGTAAATATTCTAGGCCAGTGTGTCGACTCTTGAATTCCTTAAGTTGACTTTTACAACACTTTTCCCTGACTACCAAGATCATTCTCACCACTGTGGCTCTTGAATTTCTTGGTGTTTTATTTCTTTTTAGTTATTCAACCATTTACAAAGATGTAAGGTAGGTAAACGTAATTTGTCAACTACTTTTCTGAGTTTGAATTCTCGTCTCTAAAAAATGAGTAAAGGGTCCTTTTGTGTGCTTTGGTTTTTTTTTTTTTTTTATAGTGTGAATTGTGAAAAGGCTCAAGCTAAGGCTTTAGCATTAAGTGAATTATAGTAATTCTGCTTGTGATAGTCTTTTTAGGCGATTATGGTATGGTTTTTTGAATTTATGGAGGTAGTGTTTTTTTTTTTATAAAATATTTATTGGTATTTGGTTCACGTAATTTATATTTCGGAAAAATATTATTTTTAAAAAAAGTATGATATTTAAGATTTTTTAATTTTAAGATATTTTGTATTCAAATTCACTCGTTTGATTAAAAAATATTTTTAAAATAAAAATATTGACAGAATTTTTACCATTAAATAAATATCAATCAAATTTAAATTAAAAATAATTTTTTTAATAATTTTTTTACATATTATTATTTTTCATATTGAACTCTATTAATTTATTACTTTAGTTTTTTATTAAAATTTTTATTGAATTATTTTTTAAAAAAATTCATTAACTTCACCTAAAAATTTTCATGTAAGTTTTGTCCAAACTAAAATATTTTGCAATAAATATCAAGTTTTTATACAAAAATTCTAAACTTAGATCTCCTAATTTTATTACATAAAATACAATAGATTTTTGGTTGTCTAACGTTTATATGTATTTTTTACTTTTGATTCTCTTCTATTTATGTTCTTTGAACCATTATTTATTAAATTTTATTAAAACATTTGGTTTTCTAATGTTTATAGCTTTTATTTTTAATTTTATTATAACTTATGGTTTTTTCATTTCCTTTTTTAACAATGAGATGGTTATACAAGTGTATTTCGTATTTGTATGACATTTTTTTTTTAAATCATAAGGTTTGTTATTTTGTGTTTGTATTTTTAATAACATTTTATTTTTAATCATAATTTTATGATTTTTATTTGTATTTTATGTTTTGTTAGATGATTGGTGTATTTTTTTAGTGTTTGCATTTTTATTATTTTTTTATTTTTTATCATGATCGTAATTTTTCACTTTAAGTTTGCCTTTTAGCCATTTGAATATATCATGATTGCTAAATTAACTTTTGAAAGAGATAATTGAATGATCAAATTTTATGTTTGTAGATTATGAAATATTTATAATTATAAGACTAAACAAAATATTAGCATAGAAATAATATTAGGTGATAAAAAGGTACATAAATAAATTTGTTTTTGTGATATTTTCATTTTTATTTATTTTATCATTTTTTCTAATTCATAAAGATTTTATATTCATTAAAGGTGGAAATGATTAAAAATTTTAATTTATTTTTTTGATTTCTTATAAAATTTATGTTTTAATCTCTATGAAGTAAAAAAACGATAAACTAAATCAAACATAAAAATAATAATAAAACTATTACAAAAAAAAATTATTTATGTACTTTTTTATCAATCAATATAATTTATGTGTAACGTTTTGTTTAATTTTATAATTATAAATATATCACAATCTACAAATATAAAATTTGATCATCCAATTATTACTTTCAAAAGTTAGTGATCATGATATATTCCAAATATCTATAAGGCAAACTTAAAGTGAAAAAATCATTATCATAATAAAAATTAAAAATAAAAATAAGAATTTAAACACTAAAAAAATACACCAATTGTCTAACAAAAATTAAAATGTAAAAAAAAAAAAAATATAGATCATGATTTAAAAATTATAAAAATTATAAAAATTATTAAAAATTATTAAAAAATACAAACAAAATAAAAAACAAATCTTATGATTGAGAAAAGAAAATGTAATAGAAATATGAAACACATTTATATAATCATCTCATCATTAAAAAAAAGAAATAAAAAACCATAAATCATAAGAAAATAAAAAAGAAAAAATATAAATGTTAGAAAACTAAATGTTTCAATAAATTTTAATAAATAATGGTTTTAAACAATTTGAAGAGAAGAAAATTAAAAGTTAAGAATGCATATAAATATTAGACAATCAAAAATTTATTGTGTTTTATGTAATAAATTAGGAGATATAAGCTTAGAATTTATGCACGAAAAACTTGATATTTATTACAAAATATTTGAGTTTTATATATTTATGTGATATGATTATTTTTGTTTGAAATCTCTCGTTTGTAATTGTTTTTTTTTTTTTTTTCCCACAATTATTCCTTCTCTTATTTTACATTATTTTGTGGAAAATGATGTGGATTTTTTTTTTTAATTCATGCATGATTTTAACATTCAAAACGCATTGAATGATTCGCATGGTTGCTAAAATAACCTCGACTCTAATCTTTTAATCAAGTTTTTTTTTATCTCTTCTTTCACACCTAATAGGTTGTTATTTCTTCTATATTACTTAAAAGGTTAAAATAATAATAAAAAAAAGTGATTTTATCATTTTACGTAAACAATTTTTTATACTTTTGTTATATTTAAATAAACTTTTAATCTATATTCAAATAAATATTTAATCTTTAATTTATACCTAAATAAACTCTTTACATAAGTTTCAAATTAAGGATTTTATGGATAAAAATAAAAAAATAAGAATTTTTTAGTATAAAAAAATATTTATAGGCTTATCTGAGTAATAAAGTTTAGGGTTTTTTTTTTATTATTTTAGCTTTAATTAAAATGTTAATGATTTATTTTCACCCAAATATCCATTTTAGTTAGACTCATTAGAAAAGCTAATTAATTTTAGTGAATTTAGTCCATGAAAAAAAAAAAGAAATCAATATATTCATTGCTACTTGGTATTGGGATAGAATTGAATTTGATTTAGTTTTACTTACAAAACTTTTTAAATTATATGCCCATATATACTATGCTAACATTGACATTTTAAAATTTGGTATAGAGATGTTAGTGAAGGATTAGTTATATATATAATGAATGAAGCAAAAACTTTTTTTTAAAACCAAAATAAAAATCTTGATACTTTTTGTGACAACAGTATAGCTCATTGGGTAGCAAAAATGGGTAGCATTTAGATTGTTATCAAGATATTCAGTAGTTTTTGGGCCTATAAAACTTGATTCTGTATTTGGTTAAAATTCAAACAAAATTTATTTACGTAACCCAAAAGAAAAAAAATAAGTCATGAAGAAGAAATTCAATTCACATAACTAATGAAAAAAACCACAAGACTCACAAACTATGGAAAAATAAGTATAAATAAGGGTTAAATATAAAAATTTTGTACTATATAATTTCTATCAATTTAGTATTGAAAGAAAAAAAATTATCAATTTTGAATTCAAAATTTCATTTCGTCATCCATTTTGATGACTTGAACTAGTGCTACTTAATGATGTGATATAAATATTTAATAAAATATTGATACATGTTAACAAGTTAAGTTAATATCACATTATCAATTACGACATCAAGATTAAAAGAAATTTTTAAAAATTTGAAAAACCTCAAATATTTTAAAAAATTATCTAAAATATTTTTAGAAATTATAAAAAGAAAAAATACGAAAATTTAAAAATTTTAAAAAATTCTCAAATTTTTAATAATTTTTTTTTTTAAAATTTTATAAATTTGAAAAAATGAATATTTTAATAAATCTAAAATTCTCTTTAAATTGACAAAAAGATTCACAAAAACGTAAAAAATAGAAAATAAAAATTTTAAAATTTTTATAAAAAATCTAAAAATTGATAAAAATATCCTTAAAAATTTTAAAAATTAAAAACTTTAAAATATGAAATATTTTAAAATTTTTAAAAAATTAAAAATTTTAACAATAAAAAATAAAAAAAAATAAAAAGTTCATAAAATATATAAAAAAATAAAATTGTAAGATTCGAAAAAATTAAAAATTGTCATATTTAAAAAATATTTTTATATTTTTTAAAACTTTTTAGATTTTTTCAAAAAAAAAAATTTTATATTTTCATTTTTTTTAAAATTTGTTATTTTTTAATTTTAAGATATTTCTATTTTTTATAAAATTTTTATTTTTTGAAAATTTTAGAATTTTTTTGTTTTTATTAAAATTTTAAGATTTTTAAGTTTTCATAATTTTTTTAATTTTAAAAAATATTTCTGTTTTTATTTTTTTATAAATTTTAATATATTTTAGATTTTTTAGAAAATTTTTTAACGTTGACATGAAAATTAATGATGTATCATTAATTAAATTTTTTTTACATATTAATATTTTATTAAATTTTTATGGTACATCAACAAATTGTTTAACAATATTAGTTTTATATGTCAAAGTAAATGAAATGAAAATTACAATATCAAACTAAAAATTTTAATTTTTTAGTATCAAAAGGATAAATAAATATATATATATATTTATTAACCATTTTATATTTAATCTTATAAAAAATTTAGTCTAATCAATCGTGTCGGTGGTAGTCTAATTAATGGTGTCGATGGGGTAGCTGATTATCACTTCAGTCTAACGCACTGAAAGCCTGTTGTTCGAGTTCGGACGACGCCATTAATGTTTTGTAGCTATGATAATAGTCTAATATGTCATAGTTAGAATTCTAGATTAGGAAGCTATTATTGCAACATGCTCTTTTGTAGCAGGTGTTCATCTTTTTTTTTTCTCTTAAATTATATTTCAACTAAAAAAACAAACAAACATTACACCATCCAATTCCCTTATTTTAAGGCAGAATAACATGCTTTCAAATCTCCCTGGCTAGGATTTTTGTGATTGAAAATTACTAATTTCATTTGGTGCTTTTTATCAGAAATTTTCTAAATGATTTTGTTTGTGTTTAGGAATTTGGATTCCTAACTGACGAGTTTTAGAGATTGAGGGTTAAATTCCAAGAATCTAAAGGTATTTTGTTATTGTTAGAATTTTTTTACCAAACATAAACTAAATTCCTTTCTGCCAAACACAACCTTAATGGATGTTTGGTGGACAATCATTCGTATCTATACTTACTAATGGAACTTCCAATTTCAGCAAAAAGAAAAGTAGTAGTTCATGCTTACAACTGAACTTTATTAACCCAACGACACGTACTGCAACATTTTTGCATCTTTAACTATTTAACATGAACATGTTGCAAGAATGTTACTTATTTAACATTAAAGAAAAGAGACTATCCCGCTGATTATTATAGTATTAACAAGCAGTAAGCACACTCTTCACCATACTTCGACCATAGCAACTACATCTTTGACCAGAAACGGCTCAAGCTAGCTTCGATCGATCCATGAGGTTCGTCAGTCGGATGATAAACATCATCATTGAACTGCAGAAATCGTTACATCATAAAATGCCACTAAGAATGGTTCAGTTTTTCCAGGGTAGATCCATATATTACATAACATGTCAAACATTTTATTAGCATCATCTTCTATGTAAGTTTCAACAAAAGCACCCAAAAAATGCATTCTGTTTCCCCTACTTTCCATAGAAATCATTCTTTAAATGAGACTCAAACTATCAGAAGCACTAGAAACAAAAACATTTAAGGAAAAGGGTGAAAAAGGATAAATTTCTGGAGTATTCGAAGAAAATACAAAGTCCAAAAGTTAAAAGAAAGGACACTGGTTACCGAAGAAGCAGTAAGTGGACAAGTAGTAGAGCGGGCGACAGAACAAGAGCTATAAACATGAGAAAAATCTTCAACAACATTTGAACTCAAAATTTTTCATCTGCTTGATTGTCCAATATAATTATCTCAAGACCTCTTCAATCCATAACTTTTATAAATTCCTAATATTCTATTTGAGTTCTACCCCACCCCATCCCCACTCCTTCCCCAGCCCTTTCAAATGATCAGTTTACTTGCATTCCAGTAGCTACTTTCTAGCAGATATCAAATAGCAAAGAGTCGTACCTTTACGATGTTGCCGTTATCTTCACTTGATAAATTAACTGGTAGGAAATGGATATTTGGCATTTTTAATTTAACTGATGATATGTCAGTGAACCTAAAAATCAATAAAACCAGGATGAAATCAATTCTCCCAACAGTTGTATGTAAAAACCAAAACAATGATGCTATTCAGTGTCTAAAACTAAAGAGTTCTAACAGCATGTACGTGCATGCACTGTTGTACATATGACAATGTATGTGAGTAAACAAGTATGTACACTCGAGCATGCACACGAGAGAGAGAGAGAGAGAGAGAGAGAGAGAGAGAGAGAGAACCTGCTAAGTACAGCCTTTGCCATCTGAAAAAGAGTGCTTTGAACGGATGCACTATATACCCCCCCTTCAGGAGGACCAAAGAAAGTATCAGCCAAAACTTGTCTCACATTCAAGTGTCGGTCATTGAAGTAAAGTGGATTTTGAGGGATGCTAGAGACAGATTCATATGAGTACCTGCATCCAGAAGCCGCATTTATTTTAGTGAAATTAGCACCCTCTAAACTCGAACAAGAACAAAAGGTCTAAGAATCAAGGCAACATCTCAGTGAAACTCAATGAAACAAAGCTGAAGCATGATAAAAGTTATCTTCAAGAAAAGGCTTTTGCACTGTTACATATAGTCAATAACAAACTACCCACATGCCTTCTTTAACTTAGCATCAAATTATTAACAAATAGAAAGAAATAATACCTCCAAGATGCAGTAACCTCTGTTGCTAGCATCCTTTCTCGCGTCTCAGGAAGAGCTGTGTATTTGTCCCTGATGAACCCTTCAAATCCTGACTGTTCACAAGCACATACTCCAAAAGTCAGCACATAAATCAAAAAGATGTTAGCTTAAAAGATAGAAATAAAGGAGTATAATTGAACCAAGCACTAAATCTTAATCCTCACACACAATTACCAAAGTTGAAAATTTTACAAGATTCAACAAATAAGACCAGAACCTCAAATTTCTCCTTATATTGTGTTGATAGGACATTATACTGCCAATGCCATAAAATGCATCAAAGGTGTTAAAAAAAGCCAGTAATAATGATTGCTTCAACAAGGTGCATTCATGTCGGCCATTTAAAAAAAAAAGGACTTTTTCACTAGTAATTGCTTAGCCCAAGAAACTGCCCCCTTTTGCAATATTAGCACTAACCATATTAAGGTTACAAGATCTAATACCATGAGTAAAGGAGGTAACAGATATGAAGATCCAGAATACTATCATTTATCAAGCACAAGGAAAACTGCTATTTCTGAGACATTATTTGCATCAAATTAGCAACACAACTACTCAAGAGGTGCCTTTTTGATAGATTTGTGTTTGAAAAATAGTAACATAGCAGACATGTACTGGCCTTCACCTAATTATATAGTTGTTAAATGATAACCATTTGATAAGGCTGGAAACAAGAAAAATATCTTATGAAAATAACATAGCTTAGAATGGAACTTCAAATTTCTTCCTTACCACTCATAAGGAAATTGTTTCAGGAATGAATTTTAAACAACCTATTTCATGTTGACAAGACATTATATTTGCAAAATGTTTGAATAATGTAATAAGCATCATTATAGTCAGAAGATTTCATTAAGATCCAATAAATTTATTAACATGACAAAACAACTTCTTTCAGGGAAACAGATAAGGACGGCTAGGAGAGCAAAAGTTCATATTTCCTAATTCAGTTACAATAACTTTTTATTGTTTTAGGGCACATTTGCAGAATGCTTTTAAGGAAATAAAACAAGAAAAGTTCAAGCAGTCCACTTTCTAAAGGTGAAGAAATTGGGATCCAATAAAGTCAATTTGCAATATATCTAAAAGGTCCATATGAGAATAATAATAAAAAAAACTCTCTTCATAATCTCAGTGAAATTTGTTCCCATAAGGAAAGCGAAGTGTCCAAGTTGATACTGCTAAATACCAAACATTAATGATGGTTATACTTGAAATTTACAAAATGCATTTCAAAGTTATATCCTGTTAATAGATGGATAATGAAAGCATTGAAGTGGAAGCAGTAAGCAGCTTGTATAGCACAAACAGACAGCTAAAAGGAAAACTATAGAAATTGCAAGAACTTTATATTCACTGGAGAAAAGAACATGTTATGAAATGTAATTACTTTTAAAAAGAATGCTTTCTTTCCTGTTCATGTGAAAGGAAATTTAAAAACATATAGCCAATTTCATTTTATGAAATACAAAATACCAACAAAATTACCTTGGTTGTCTTCAGCAAAGCCAGCCCTTCAATACTGGAAGTCAGCTGTAAAATGCCAGACTTCTGTACAATTGCCTCCACTACATGCTTATCAGATCCAAGTTTAAAGCCTTCAATAAACAAGATAATAAAAATTCATTGGACAATAAGTGGAAGTATTGATGGTAGTTGATTCCAAAAGAAATTCATCTGATATTAAGCAGAATTATTGCAGCCTCACCCTAAATTGGGAAAACTTACCATGTTCGTGTGGTTGACCATTTACAGAAACACGTTCCCATGGCTTTTCCACTACCTTTACTATTGCAGTAAAAACCTACAAAAAAACAGATACCAAAAATCTGCATCAGTCAAATGGCAAGCATTTTACATAAAATTTAATGTGGAACACCCATGCCCCAAGTGTCATACATAGCTTATGTGCTTCAAAACAAAGGTCATAAAAGGAATCAAGAAACTTGTCAACAAGTCAAGCAATGCTAACTAAGATGCTCATTAATGCTAATCCAGTTATTTGGTAATGCTAGCTCGAGATCATATTAAATCTTTTATGCTCAACAAATCCCAAAATATTGTGCAATAGGTTTATTTTACATTCACAAGAAACTTACTCAATATCAAGTCTATTAATAAAAAGAAGTCACCAAGAGACCTTTAAAGATACATAAATTTGTAGAAGCTTGCATGAAAAGAGATCGAAAGAGTGACATGAAAGAGCTGATTTAGTTCAACCTTAAGATGAAGTTCTATAAGGTGAATCAAGAAGTAATCAGATGAAGCTCAAGAAAAAGACAAATTGGTCAGCTCATTTATAGGATATATTAGGCATCTCCAACATATTTTAAGAGAATAAACAGAATTATATTCCTGCTAAAAAGCATATATTTTATTTTAAAAGGACTTGATGAATACAACAAAGCTTTTTATGTTATTTTATTTTATTTTGTTTTGGTACAATACAACAAGAATTTCAAGAAGTCTCTAAGCTAATAGAGATAGGAATTTTACTTCAACAACTTAAATAGTAGACTTAATTAGGGATTTAAATTACGATAACATTTGCGGTCACGGTCACGTTTTTAGTCACATTGCGTTTATGACGGTTACGGACATAACAGAGATCATTGTGGTCATTACGGTCATTGCGATTGTGAATTTCTTTTAAGTTTACACAACTTGATACAAAATGTAGTAATTATAATTATAATTATAAAGATTCTTATTTTATGATTTTTAAAGTGGTTTATGATCTTTTATTTACTTAGAAAAATTATTCATAATTTTTTTGAGATTATGTATAGTATTTATATTTGACTTAGTAACAAACCTTTACTTAAGAAAAGTTCATGTTTAGTATTAATTTCAAGTAAACTAAATATATATTAATAAAGTAAAACATATTAAATGTCAAGTATTCATATATAACATTATTACAAACTTAAAAAATATAATTTATTAGATTATAAAATGCTCGATTTATTAAGTAATTTATTTTTTAGCATATTAATTGATTTAACATTTTTATCATAAATTATTTTTAATTTATTCTATAACAAACAACATTTTCAATTATTATTTAATTACAAAAAAAAAAAGAACTAATCTAATACTAAAAAAATTAACAACAAAAAAATCATTACTAAAATTCAAATATAAAATCATAAAAAATTAAATTTTCCTCTAAATAAAAAATCTCTATTAGCCAAAAATTTTAAAAAAATCCCTAAATAAAAAAATTTTCTCTAAATTAAACAAAAAAAACAAAAATGCTAAATCCATGAGCCCCTTATACCTTGCATCTTCACCATTAACTCCTCTCACTTTATTTCCCCTACCTTTCCCCCAATCTCCAACCCATTCTCGACTTTCCTCTCACTTTTCCCCCAGGCTACCTCTCATCCCAATTCCCACAAACCCAAATCCCGATTTCAACATTCCTACAAACCCATAATTCCAATTCCCACCCACAGTCCCTCTATTTTCCTCTCATCACTTGTCTCTCAGAAGTTTCAGTTTCATGCACAAAGCAACTTTCACCAGCAGATTCCAATTTCATTCAACAAAAAATCATAGCAAGCTTTCAAAAGTTTCAACAAAAAAAGTAATTTAAGCACAGAATTGCTTGTGCTTGATGTTTTGTGGGGATGAATTTGTGGATTGAAGTCTTTGGCAGCCTAGGGTTATTTTCTATTTGAAGATTTTAACTCAAATGAAATTTTTTTTTGGCTTTTAACATAGAATGTTTGAACCAAAAACAAAGTAGTAATTGATAGCGGACCAATATTGCCGCTATTTATCAATTTGCCCTTTTTTGCCCGATACCTGCCACTACTGTCATGATTCAAATTCTCATCCATTTTTTGTTAATAACGGTGGCTGATGGTGGTGTTATCGCGAAATAGCAGCCACTACACCGCTACTCCACCACTATTTGAATTCCTGGACTTAATAAAAATCTCATAATGCTCGAATTGGATTTCTAACATCATTTTAAGCTATTCAGCTTAAAACTCTAGGCCACTCTGAATTTAATACCTCAGTAAGCAAAAAAAATAACACCACAAACACATAATTATTCCAAATTTCTCAAAAGCAAATTCATATGCCAGGAGTCTCTTGTCTTGATTACTTTGACTAATGGAAAAAAAAAAATCCCTAACAGATTTCTTTTTCAAAATTTTGGTAACAAAAATTATGTAATGAAACCTAAACAAGAATAATAAAGTTACATTGTTGAACATGAGTGTTTTTTTTTTTTAATGTTCACATGAATAGTTTCTTTGTCATTTGCGCATCAAAATTGTTGTTTGTTTTCCCTGGTCAAGGTTGCTAGACGAACGATTAAGGTCTGGCTAGAAAAGACCTTACATCCCAACTCAAATACATTTACCCAAAACATTGTTGAGGTATATATCCTGTAAGAGAGAAATATTGAGCTTGTATTTTAATCCTCTTATACATGGAGAATGTTGAGCTCTTATATTCATATTTCACTTTACCATGGATATTCAACTCTAGTTTCCTTATCTGTGCTAAAGCCTAAGCCGAGAGTACTGCACTAAAATCACCAAGCCACCAAAATGAATGTGGTACCAACTTTAGTAATGCATCTGGAAGAGAAACACTATACTTTCTGTTTTCCTCCAGATGTAGGAATGCATTATCCTCATACTGAAAAGGAAAGAGAAGGAATAATCCAGCTGCCTACCATTTTGTTCATAAGATTAAAATAAATTCTTAGATGTGAAAAAACTACCTGTGGATAAAATGACGTGAAGTGCTTGCCAAGTATAATCGCAAATTCCTCTGCTGAAAGTGGTTCTGAACACTCCTTTGCTTTGACATAAACCTGTATTTTAATTTTAACAATTAATTTTAGATGATGTGCCGAGATATATATGAGAAAGAATTTCTCAATCAACATGACTTTAAAAATGATAAATATTCAATTGGAGTTTTTAAACTTCACAAGTGTGGTTAGTTGATAACAAATATGCGTTTGTGAAATTAAAAAATTATACTTTGTATAAAAAACACACTCATTAAGAAATTACCAATTGAAAATTAAATTTTATATTGAGATACACAACTACAATTTTTTATTTCTTCTACCAAAATTATCTATTTAACATTTCAACCAATTTCTTTAAGTTAAATTCCAAAACTTTTTATGTGATGCAACGTATACTTTGATTGGTAAAACGTGCTAAAACAAGAATTGGAATAAAAAGACCATAACGAATACGAAACGTTTGAAGATTTACCCTAAAAATCGATAAATACAAATTAGGTTTTTACAAAGAAAATTCCTTTCTTTTAAATTATTAAAGCTGATTGATCACCCCATTTTTTAGATCATTAAACAAATTTTAAGTTTTAGATTTGAATCTGTCAATCATAAAACAAATCAAAAACTTTAGATTTGGATCTCATATGACGGCAACATCATATTCTTCTTATCTTTTTCTTTTTTTTTTTTAAACGTCAAATTTATTTTCCTTACCCCGATAAACATTTTAGATCCATAGTCTAGTAGTATATGTTCTTTATCAGACAGAACAAACCAACCCCTTGGGCATAACCTTAAAATCGAAGAAAAGGAGAAAAGAAAACGTAGGTGGTGGTATTAGTGACGAATCTTACAGTGTTTTTCATGGTGTCAGTCGCGACGATGTCGGAGTTGTCGTCACGGACATAGGCGGCAACGCAATTGGAAAGCAAGCTGATGTTAACCTTCCATTCCACCATGAAATGGCGTCGCCCATCTTTGCTCCTCCAAACTCTGCCTACTCTCACCTTAGCCTTTCCATGCCTTTGCTCGAACTTGAATCCGTCCAACTCCTTTGCCATTGCTCTTCTTCGGCTTTGTTTTTCAGATTTTGGAAACGCTTTTAAATATTGGTGGCAGAGAGAGATAAAGGCTCTACTTTTGAATATTATAAGCAATAGCTTACACGTATCTCCACTGCAACTGCTCCCACTCTCACCCACATCTCCTTTCTTTTTGCAATTTATAATTTTTTTTAATGTTCTTTTTCTTTTCTACATAAATAGTAGTTTTTTTTTTTTTATTGGTAACGAAATTCTTACCTCAAATTAGTCTATCAAGACTCGAACTCAAAAAATTCGTTCAATATATTTAAATCAAAATTCAATACAACTTAATTTAATTATTAAAAAAAAAACAATCCGATCTCAAAAATAATTTAAATTCAAATTAATTTAAATCTAAAAATAACTTAAGTATAAATTTATCAGAATTCAAATTTATCAAAATTGTAATTGATTTGAACTTGAATTAATTTATAAAATTAACTTGGAATGACTTGAATTCAAATTAAGTATAATTTTATTTAAAAAAATATTAATTTTTAACAAAGATAATAAATATAATATAAATTATTAATTTATTTTAATTTATAAATTTAAATTATTTGTTAAAATCTTTTTCTTTACTATTACAAATTATTTATGTTATTATGATATTATTAATTTTAATTTTTAGGTTTATTAGTATATATTACAAATAAAACTCTTTACTTCTCTTTTTTTACTTTGATAAAATAATTAAATAGATCAATTCTAAATTAATCATTTTAACACAAAAAAAAATTAAATAAAATCAATTATACCATTTACTTTTAAATATTATATTATAAACTTGGTATTACAAAAATCATTATTTTTAAAAGTAGATAAAAACAAAAAATAGTAATCAATTAATAAATAAATAATTAAAGACTATCACAATAAAAAAAAGTAAAAAGATATAAATAAAAATTAAAAAGTTTTATTTATAAATTAAGCCAATATATTTTAATTTTTAATTATACAAGGTTTTTCTTCGAACTTGCAAGTTGTAAGTTGAAACGATAAGGCTTACAGCTTTAAATATCTTCTGTTTGAATTTTTTATTTTACATTTATTAATAATTTTATTTTAATAATAATACCATAAGCATATGACGTCTACGTATAGACCACAAACTGTAATGGTATAGCCTTATAGATATAGTAATTAGTAACTTCTGATTACTTTGATAAATTAATGATTCATCAATTAAGACCTAGATGGTCCTGGTCCCCATTAGACAGGGACGTAGCCATGTTATAAAAGTAGGCTTGTTTGATCTCGATGAAATTTAAAATTCCTTTATAATATGTATTAATATAGATAAATTATAAATTAAAGATATATTTGATGTATAAGATAAAAAAATAATTATTTTATATTATATTTAGTTATATATAAAGAATAAGATGAAATTGTAAAGACAATTAATTTTTCTCTTAGTATAAAATAATTTAATCTTTTTAAAGTAAAAAAAATATTTTTAATTTATAGAATTGAATTTAAATATTTTATTATAATCTTAAAAAATTATATCAATAATTTAAATTGTATAATTTTGAAAAAAATATTTTTATTAATAAATAAATTATTTTATTTTAGTCTTTATATATATATCAAATATAAGATAATATGATATTATTTAATTTAATACTAATAATAATATCATCTTATATTAACTTATCATAATTTTATATATCAAACATATATTAATTTCATTAAATCAAAATTTAAAATAAATTAATTTAACTAAAATAAAAAATAAAAAATCAATATATAATATAGTATAATATAATAAATAATTTAAACCCCCAAACCGTTGGCTTAGTGGTTAACTTGCTTAACCAGAACATAGACCTGTCTTTAAACAAAGCTCACCCCTCTTTCCCAAATGCATCCTTTAGATAAAAAAAAATTATAATAATAAAAAACTTTGACAAAATGAATGATTAAGACAAGAAAAATGTTAGTGTTATTTATGCACTAATTATTTTTATTTAAAACTAGTCTTGATTTTATCAACTGTGAATGCAATTATATAAAAATAAATTTTTATGAAGTTATGAATATAAGAGAAATTATAATTATGTTCAAGTATTAGACATAAAAAAAATTAATGAATTACATCAAATAAAAATAACCAACCAAACATGAAACTAGCTTATAATTCCATAAATGAGATTTAAACTTGAAAACTTAACATTCCAAGATCCTCTCATTGGTACAAAACCAACCCCTCATTAGAAGTATACAAAGAAATTTTATAGCAATAAAAAAATAAAAATTTTGTTACTTAAACCAATAAGAGATAGATTGGTAAATAATTATTTGATTACATATATTAAAGAAATATATTTGATATATTAATGATGATTTGTAAAATATGAAAAACTTTTCACAATAATTATAAAAAATATCTTTATAATGAATATTTATTATTATTATTATTATTATTCTTTATATCAAGGGTTGAATCTTTAAATTTCAAAGAGAAATTAGATGGTGATTATATGTTTATTTAATAATTAAATAATTTATTATTTTTTAAATATATCTTAATAGATACACATTAACTCTCCAATCTCACTTGTAAATTTTAAAACTTCATTGTCATCCAAGATAATAATCCTTTTCTTTTTGCTATTTGAATTTAATTTTTGTTGTAAACGTTGTTATTATTTAATTATTTTGATTGAAAATTTTATAATTTTATATATTTTAATATTTTAAAAGATAATATTTTATCTTTTTTATATTTTTTATTATCATGGAATAAGAAATAAAATGTAATAAATTATTAATATATTAAATTTAAAATCAAACATGAATGACTTGTATTTAAATAACTTGAATGTCAAATCTGACTTACTTGAATTTAAAATAAATCAAACACAAAATTATTCAAATGTAAAATAACACAAACGTATACCCTAAATTGATCTGAATATTTTAAGAATTGAAATGATCCCAACTTGAATTGATCTGATCCAAGTTGACACACTCAATTATCAGGCATACCTCAAATTTGTTTATTTTATAGCAAATAAAATTTTCAGAATATACATAAAAAAATTATTGACAAAAAAATCTTTTATTAAAATAAAAAAAAAAAAAAATTAAGAGGAGCGTAACTTTCACATAGAAATGTAGACATTGCAAACGATGACGATTGAGGAGGAAACTTGCTCACAGTTTCTAGTTTTTTAAAGTTAACCATGGGTAATCAAACAGAAGCTTCCAGTCAATCCAACACCAACCTTAGAAAAATTTAAAGAAAAAAAAAATCTATGTGGACTTTTAAGATTTATTGCCCACAGTTAACCGTCAAAAACTAGAACTGTGGGCACAGCTGGAGAGAACAAAATTTTTTTATTAGTTTCCTCAATCGTCAATTCGTCATCCTCTGCTATGTAAACAAATAAATAAAATATGTTAAAATTTAAAATATAATAAATTTTTTTATTTTTAATGTTGCTATCATTTCACTTAAATTCAATATTTTTTAGAATATGAACATTTTTTTAAAAATAAATTGAAAAGGAAAAGATTTAAAATAATCTGACAATTTGCTACGGTATGGCCTTTCTTTTTCCTATAATTTTAATTAAATTTTGTCGTAAAAATATGCAAATTTTGAAGAACTCATTTATATTTTATATTTTTAAATATTTATTTATAAATAATTAATTGATAAATTAATATTTATATTTATTACGTAGAACCTTAACTTTATATACATAATAAGTCTTTTTTAGCCTATGCTTTGTAAGGTTAGATTTATTTTTTTAAAATACTTAAATAATAAATATAATACCTTTCTAATATTTTCATACTTTTACTTAAAAATAATACACTCACGTTGACATTAGAATAAAATTTTAAAATTAACAAAAATCTAAGAAAACATAAAAAGATAAAATAAAATAACAATAAAAAATTAGACTTTTAGAAACGAATTTTTTAAACTAAAAGTTTGATTTTCATCACTAAAAACTTTTGGTTTCATCAAAAAATTTTGAGATCATTAAAAATATTCATTCAAAAAAGAAAATTTCTAACAGTAATAGGATAACTTTAAGCAATCGATATAGTTTTACATTAAAATATTTTTACTAACGAAATTTTTTATTGATAATTTATATAATTTTGTCACTAAAAGTATTTTTATATCTATTAAATTGAATTAATTCAAAAAAATCCATGGATAAAAGTTATTAACAACGAAAATTTTCTATCAGTAAAACCTTTTAGCAACGGAGATTTTGTCACAAATAACCTAAACTTCATCTGTGAATTTTTCTTTTCTAAAATGAAATAATGTTAATCATTTTTCACAAATAATGCCTTTTTCAACCCAAAAAGTATTCTGTGTGAAGGAGGATTGATTCCTTTAAAATGAAATCATTCTATTTTGACATAGATTGCTCTTTTTAGTTTTAAAAAAAGCATTTTTGGGTGAAAATATTTTCTTTTGAAATATATTACAATGGATAAACATATAATAAATAAAATTATTCATTTCATTTATCAAAAAATAAAGTAAGATTTTACAAAATTATTACAAACTAGAATCAGAATTAAATCATGAGTCCGCCAGAATTCAAGTGTATTAGCAAAATCATGGTAGTCTTCCTTAAATAGCATTCCTAAGAAAACAACCACATATATGAATCAAACCATTTTAATTGACTTTTTTATTCCTGTTGCTTGGCATGATCAATGACTGTATCCATTTTCGAGCTTCCCAAGCTGTGGAACAAAGCAATCTTGAAATAGAAAAACACTTAGGCAATAGTCAATTCCAAGCAGTATGCTCTAGATAAACAATATATTCAAGACAAAACCCCTCCAAGCAATGGAGCAAAGTGACACATTAAAAACAATGTATACCTAGACAAACAGTATACTCTAGATAAACAGTATAAAATGTTGAATTGACTATCTAAAATTATGAAATAATAGATTTCATTGAATAACAACCATCCAACTTATCAAAATCATATGCAAGCAACAAAAGTTTTAATATAAATAAAAATTTTGAACACCAAAACCATTCTTACATAAAGAATACAAATTAAATCACAATTAAACTTTATATAATACATACATGTTTATGTAAGAATATCCAATAAGCATTAAGCAGTTATGTCTATGTAAATGCATTTAT